ACAGCTAATCTAAAACTTTCATCATCTAAATGGAAAAACGGCAATTCACGTAAACATGACTCGAAAGCAAATTAGGTTTACTTATCTTATCCGTGATCATGAGATACCTGAGGCTTGTCGCGAATTATTTAGCGATCTAGAATAAAGTAAGCAGTTTTCCCTGCCTTCTTAGCTGCTTCTAGCTTTTCGACTTGATTAGCTCGTTTCTCCAATGTGGCGACAGATAGATCTTCACAAATGAATAAGCCCACAGCCTTTCTCCTTCATGGCCTTTCTAACCACCGCTCCCATCTGTTTCCAGTTCTTCAGGCGACAGACAATGGTCCTGGGCTGTCCCGATTTTTTAGCTACCTCTGGTTTCTTTTTCCTTTCCACTCTATGTCCTCGCTCAATATTCGACAATATCGACTTCCATATCAAGCTTCTCCCTGACTGCTTTTTTGACTTTCTCTTCAACAATCTCCCACGTTTCATGAGCAGATTCCGGTATTCCTGAAACTCCAATATTGTTCCTCCTGCTCTAGTTTTCAAGATATTCCATCTTAGAACTTTGTTCATCAAGAGTCTTTTGAAGGGAGCCAATTTCACCCTCAGCGTCTTCGAGTTTAGTCGCCACTGTATCGAGATTTTCGACATTCAACCATAGTTAATTGAGTGGAATGGTTATGAAACCCGTCAGACTCCTTTGTTATATGTTTTTGTGGACCTGAAAGTGCACAACGTTCAAAAGAATTCCTATCATTTTGATTGTATTGACCAATAAAAACGTTGCATTAATTTATTCCGTAACAATTTGCCAACAGAAAACAAAGGATTGTGCACTTTCAGGGTGCTTCCAACATAAACTGCAGTACTGTTGTTTTTATCATTGATGTTTGCCGCTTTGCATAACCAGTCTCCTCTAATAACTATGATTCTTCTGAGTAAACTCGAGACTTGTTTTTAATTCAGTTACCGTCTTCAATTGATCGTCAACACGAGTCGTCACGGAAGAAATCACTGAATGGAAAAGTGACTTGAGCATCGATTCTTGGACAGAGAGCATCTGTTTAAGCATAGCCAAGGACACGTACTCTTCGTCACCTTCGGCGTCCTGCAAGCTTGATGGATTATTCACTTTCCCTGCTTCTCCAGAGCCTCTAGAAGCCGTGTTTTTCCCCTTTGCCTTAGTCATAATGAAAATTATACTTTTAGTGTAGTTTAAAAAATGTAGAGTGCTAAATTGAAGAGAAGAAGAGTTTTCTTGCGGTTAAACTTGTAGAGAGCTCACAAATACACGTCCGTCCGTCATGACTCTATTGCACTAAAGACACAAAAATTATACTTTAATAATAATAAAACACTACTACCGTTCTCTTCACAGCGTCCAGAGGAGTTTTGTGTGAATAAATGAATTACTTATTTTAAGTCTCACCTTGAAAAATGTCTATACCAGTCGCTTAGCACGATTAATTAGCCCAATGGGATCTTAATAAATCTACTGTAAACGATTTCTTCGCTTCTTATCTGACCAGATCGACTTTGTTGTTCACCATTTTGAAAATCAATAACCGCAAGCCATATCCTCGCTGGCGCACGGAACGTCGCCCGAAGGGTGACCGAAAGCTGTCAACCGAAGGGCGACCGAGGTACGATCTTGCGAGCCCTCAGTCTCTTGGTTTGCAGTCTATAGAATGTGTAACGAAACTGTAACGCGATCAAAATACTAGTAACCCATTTTTACAGAGGTTTTCGACGGGTTTTGATGTTCTAACGACAAACACATCTCCTCTGGACCCTGTGTTCTCTTGAGAAGTTGATGAACATCATTAGCATCAAACAATTGCCTTGTCATTGACGACCAAGTTCTAGCCATTTTTTTTTTCACAACACATTACTATAGTATTGTTTGTCAACAGTTACCATTTTTTAGTATTGTTTTCACAAAAATTCACAGTCTTTCACAAGTATTACATATTATATAAAAGTGAACGGAAAAAACTTTCTTGTGAAAATTAGTTTTATTTGCATGAGAACAAAAAATTATTTACATACCAATTGCTTTGCGCTTAGCCCCGCCTTGAAAAGGAGGCTTGAATTAAGTCCAAGTGGCCTACTACAGTGTTATCTTCTTGTTTTCAAAGTATACGGTCTCCGCTAAATTGAAGGGCCATAATAAATACGAACTATTACAAATGAGTTCCTTACGGTTAAAGCTGCCGAAAAAATATACATGAAATTTGCATTTGAATGATAACAATCAAATGTCTTTCCATCATCATAAATTTGTTGGTAAACTTCATCTAGATATGGCCTATAAGGCGGATTTTACCATCACTGCTATAACACGTTTCAGATGAATGCAAACAAGTTATGAAGAGAGGAAACAAAGAAGAAAACAAATAATAAGAGTGATAATATCGATGATGCTGATGATGATGATGATGACGATGATGATGATGGCGATGATGATGATGATGATGATGATGATGATGATGATGATGATGATGATGATGATGAT